TTAACTTAGCAACACAATAATAATATGAAAATAACGACCAACACGTCTACAATTACAAAAAACAATACCACTCTAGCTATCAAAAAGAGACTTTGCCGTCTAAACTGACAAATAAAATAAATGATTTGACATATGTAAATGGCATAGCCAACTTAGATACATTGGAACCTTAAATTAAACATCACCAAATGGTGCACAGAACGACTATTTGACATATTTTGTAAAAAGGCAAAAACTTAACTATTAACATCCTAATACCATTCGATAGGTAATTAAAATTTTTAATTCCCTGGTAAGTTAAAAAATATGGAGTTGTATTTAAATTAATCAAGTTAGAGCCACTTAAAGTTCTTATTTGATTAGTTTAAATTTGCGGACACCCTGTATAACATGGCAAGTTTATTATCATCGGGATATAAAATATTATATCTTGTTACACTTCACTATAAATTACGCTTACATAACTGAAATACTTCTAAAGTATTTGACACGTGAAAATTAGATTAGATTTTGATTAAATTCGTATTATTAAAAAAAAACTTAAGATTTAGGTATCATAAACCTTATTAAAACAGACACTTATTTTGTTCAGCGAATCCAAAGATGCAATAATATACCGGACATTCCATTGAAAAAAACGCAACTTTGATACCTTTAGAGCTTTTGGGACACCCTGTACATTACAAAAATATTTTAAAATATGCGCTCGGTAGGCGTCGGACAATTAATAAAATAATACTTTTCAAAAATCAAACGGTTTAGCCGCAAACTTCCGTGCCGTATAGCGTGAATAACCCTGTACATTTAAATCAATTAAACAATTCCAATTAGTTAAGCACATTTTCGTAGCTGAATCGCTGGCACAAGCTGAGGCAAGCTTCCGCGTCTACGGCATGCAATTTTCCTAACGAATTATTTTCCAATTTAAAACGAATTATACTATTTGGCTTCTGTATTGTACCGGTACAATTCACTGGGAAATATAAAACTGGCAACGAATTAACAAAAGGGCAAATACATTTTTCAGCTTCAGCAGACGGCTACCGGCCCTATTTAATTAGGCTGAAAGCGAACCCATGTTTAAGGTGCTGGAAAACACTTACCATAGTCCGAGTCATCGGAAAATCCACCGTCCTCATAATCCAAATCGGTGAATGTGGACTCATTGTCCGAGTCCATTAGACCAGGGTTTCCATTGGTCTGAGCGTTTCCATTGTTTGCAGCGATTCCAGATTCATTGTCCAGGATATCCTGGTTCGAGTGAACCTCAGCTGATGTTCTCGAGTCCTCTTTGGCAGATAATTTATTATAGCCTTTATGAGCGGGACGGTTTTCTGGAAAAAAAAACACGAAATGAAACGAACAGCTCAGCAACATTTTGTCCCTGTGAAAATCGATTCAGTTTAATTAATTAATTATCTTCAATAGTCGATTACTCCCTTGCCAATCCATACACGTGCCTCCTGTAACAACATATAAAACCCTTGAAAAAATAATAAGCGACTCTTTGTGATGACTTTATTACATTTCTTCGGTGCTTCTCACGAATCGCAATTTTTCCGCCCAATAGAAATACACGCTTTTGGTCTTTAAGTATTCTATTCAGCCCGTGTAGGTGATGAAATGAACATATTATATTACTTCTCTATCCCATTGTTGCCATTGAAAGCATGGCAAATCCCAGAAGCCAACACTCGAGGGATGTGTTGAATTTCACCTTCACAATAAATGATTGTCAGTTGATATAAGACGAGTTGGAGCAGATTATTTGGAATTTCCCAACATGGCAATGGAAGATAAATTGCTGCTTAACTATTTTCTCATAGAAAATATTTCGTGGTTAACGGTCGGTTAACCTAATCGGGGCTTTTCCTTAAATATCAGATGGTAAAATATGCCTTTTCATGTCCTTGAAGTGGATTTTTTTCAATTTCCATCACAGTCATTAATGCCAACATCAATTAAACATTAAAGCTGTTAGCTGAACATCCATAAGAAACAAAATTCCATTGGACACAAGAAGGTTTTCAAACACAAGACTGAAACAATAAAGGAAAATGACCGGCATATCATACACTCATAAATTGTGAAAATGGCAAAGTTACGCTGATCTGTCTGGACAGGCTGAAGTTCCATTGGAGATCCATTATAAGTTTCTCTAGGAAACAATTTCATCTAGTTCTAGGATAAATCGATTTGGAAAACTCAAATTGAAAATGGCCTGCGAAAATAAAACCTGCTGGGCGATATCAAATCAGAATTATATCACTAGAAGAACGGGGAAACTTTCAATAAAATTTAAATTGAATTTGTCAAAGGAAGCAAAGGGCTAATGGCATTTATCGTGTATATTTGGCGAAATTTTAGTTGTGGTCAATCAATTCATGAGGCAGTTTGTAAAAAACATCAAGAGGTAGATGGGAAAAATTGTTAAAAACAGCAAGAATGGGAAAGTCTATTATTATCAAAAGAGCGTTTATCTAAATTTAATTTGAACGGAACATTTTTGCACTTATTTATTCTCATTTAAAAATATTTCGAGCTTGTCTATGATAGTTAGGATTTTTTTAAACAAATGAATGCAAATGAAGCACCATTCCAAAAAACACCAACAAAGTTTGAAAATGTCTAAAACATTGATGGATGCCGCAACTGAACATTATTTGTTGTGTACTTATTCACAATCCCTATCGGCAAAAAAATCCAATATTTGACGTAAATATCTGTATGATTTAGAGCTATAAATTTTCAAAAATAATTTTAAAAAACACCGATATGTACTGCGATTAAACTGTAAATTTGAGCACATATTTTCCATCGTCTTCCAAAAACATCTAAAATTCCCGGGATCCATCTGCTTAACTAACAGAGTTTCATAATTTTAAAAACAGACCTTTGCACGTCAGACAAGTTTCTAAAAAACAAACAAATTTAGAAAATTCCAAATGTTTAGAACACTGTAGGAGACGGAAACTGAACTGTAAATTTGCGCTTTTATTTACTATCTTATTTATTACGAAAATGCAAATTTTTACCCATCTGTATGTTTGACTACGAGAGTTGTAATTTTTAAAACAGATCTTTGCAAAACATTCTTGGAAACAGCAAGTTTGAAAATTTCGAGCACATTAATAGATGCTGCGATTGATCTGGTATTTTATACACTTAGGTAGCATTTCTTCGTCTAAAAATATAGAAAACTTAGCTATAAATCGATGTATGATTTTGAGAGTTGTGAATTTTTAAAATTCACGTCTGTAAATTACGCACAATTCCTTAATTCGAATTCGAAGTTTCAGAAATGAAACAAATGAACTGAAACTTTGCACACTTAAGTACCATCTCCTGCCTTAAAACTATTCAAAATTTCAGGAATAAATCCGTGCGATGTTGAAAAATATGAATTTTCAAACCAAACCTTGACAAATCAGGCACAATTTTAAAAAGCTGCAGCTAAAATTGGAGCTATCCAGGAATCAATTACCTCCAATAGCAGGCTCATAAGTATTTCAAGGAATTTGGCTCTTTACCAATAAACTCACACAGAGAACAGGTAACAAACATCTAGCAAAATTCGTTTACATTTAAATAAAAGTTCAAAAGCTTGTGCCCGAACCAAATAATCTGAGCATCAAAGTACTACAGCATTTCAACCCTAAGCGGGTTCGAGAAAAGCGAATTGAAATCGTCGAATTGAGAAAATCCGTTTAATATTTGAAGTCCTATAAATACGCGTGTTGGCCTATTAAACCTGCGAGTGGAAATCAACAAACAAGTCGAGCCATATTTGAACTAAAATAAATTGATCTTAAAAGAGGAAATTTGGGAAGGTTTGAGCTCGGTTGTGAAAAAGGGGGCTCCAACTCACAAGACTTTGAGGGCTGAATCGAATTAATAAGCAGCATCGCCTCGTTTGCGCTTACACCCAGAAACGCCCAGCTCGTTAATAAGTTCCCTTTTATTCATTGTTGTATCCCGCCGCAAGTTAATTGACTTAACAACACTAAGGGCTGGACTTGATTGTATTGAACGCTGATTATATTTTATTAGGTATTCATAGGCCCGAATATTGGGGGCCCCTAATGAAACAAAACATCGAAGAGACCCGTGATCGAGAACTGAGTGAAAAGTGAACAGCAAACGCATAAGCTCTTTTGCAAAATCAAACACCAAAATTTCCAGAACTCTATACGCCGACATGAGAAATAAACCTCGCTTCGGATAAAATTCGTTTATTTTGAAGTTTTTAGGGATATTTTCAGCAAAATACATCCGAATGAATCTTCAGTTGAAAGAAAGCAGCCGTTTAATGCCTGGAAACCGCAATTTCAGATCCATAACCAAAAGGCTCGAAGCTTCGGAACTCGTTCTATGTAATGGCCTTTAAAATTGTACGTGCGGGGCCTTTGCTTCGATTTACCTCTGGGAGTTTTATCGATAGGAAACGTTAGCAGAGTTACATATAAATGGGTCAAGGAGAAATGTCGCGAAATAATGCAACATTTGCTTGTTTATCAAAATTTACATGCGTTTGATATCAATCTCAGGTAGTAAACTGGTTTCTAGTGCAAAGTTCCTACATTGAAAGTGCGAAAAATTTGCAAGTTGGGCACTTGCTGATGCTTGGACACTATCAAAGTTGCTGTTTTCTGGAATTATGTGTTTTCCTCTTATCTCTCAAAATCCAGTAGGTAAAAAGCTGAAATTTTGGACGTTTTTAGCTAAAGGGCTAATACATAAGTGCGCAAAGCTTCAGCCCTATTGTGCGCTCCACTGCTATTCCACAATTTTTTGAATATACACTTTCTTGCTCCTTTTCCGCGGTCTGTTTTGAAATTGCAAATCTTTCAAAAATCAGCAGATAAATGCCTGAAATTTTAAATAGTTTTTGAAAATGCGGTAATAAAGTGTGAAAACTTCAGTTCCATCAGGGTTTTTATGTGTTCATTTCATAAGGACTGCTTTGAAAACTGATATCTCTCAAAATCAAAGTTCCAAGATTTACCCAAAATGTTTAATGTTTTAAGCGAAAAACACACAGTATTTGAAATTATATAATACATATTATTTAGAATCAAGTTCGGGTTCTATCGCCGCTTGCATTGATCCTACTCTCCAACTGCTCTTTTTCGGGTATATTTCTATATTTCAATAGTTCAAACATATATTCCTGAAATTTTAGTAATATTAGATTCAAATTTCAAAAGGCTTTTAAATTTGATTTGTTATTCAAACTTCTGAACTTTTAGCGAACAGAAGTAATGCACCAAATTTCAATCAACTTGAATCCTAATCAAATGCTATAAATTAAGAAATTAAAATAAAACTTCCATGTTATTTTTGCACCCTATCAACAGTCAATTTTTGGGAATCCTTAATTGCAGACTTTTACAGGGATCCAGACCATTAGCAGCATTTTACGATGTAAAACCTTGATAGAAGTTCACCCAAATTAAACGTTAATAAAGTGGAAATACGTCGACAGAAATAATGGTTTTGGATCAAATCACAGCAGCAATTCTTCAATGAGTATCCAACTAAAAGTGTTCGAAAACGATGGAGCTTTTGTCTAAAAATAGTCTCGGTTAGCAATATCGTGCAAGAGCTTTCGCGCTTCGGAAACTTTTTAATTAAATATAGCTGAATTAATAGTGCAAATTAAATCTCGTTGAGTTGAGGGTAAAACCATAAACAGTCTCTCAGGTTGCAATAAAATATAACTAATTAATGTCCCAGGGTGAAACGAATTAGAAATATTTAAATACGTTTTGATTATCAGCAAGTGTTTGGTAGACCACAAAACCCGACATTTTCCTAATTTATTTCAATTAATCGAATTTTGAGGCAGGATTGCGATTGTATGCAAAGCCTAATCCAACCGGATTAGAGTGGCTGATTGTTGGAAATTTGAAATGCATTCTCGTTTCTGCGCAAATTAATTTTTAATTCTTTTGGAAACCACGGACATTAAGGGTTTCATAATGGCGAAAGTTTAGCCCATTTGCAATAATTAATGGAGCGGCTATCGGGTTTTACCAAAGAACCGCACATGGAACCTGCGGCTTGTAGGCAAGAGATATGTGGCATGATTAATGTGTTTTATGGACTAAAATTTCGCCCATTACACTAATAAATATAAATAGCAAAGCGTGAGCATTGAAATAAATACCAGCAGGAGCAGAACCTCAATAAAAACGTTGCTTTAATCGTCGGTATAAAACGGCCTGAAGTGAAATATGGTTTCTTTTCAACACTCTTCTGGCTGAGGTTAATGCCTTTAATAAAGGGAATTTATTACAGGATGATATCCAATAAAAGCCCCCATACTATCAAG